TTCCATCGGAACGTGAGAAAACTTGCCCGTCTTCCACTCTTCTTCCTCGACCACGACTATTTTATTTCCTCCAGTTGTCGCTATCAATCGACAGTAGTTTTTCCACTGCGATCTGGGGAAATCGAGAACTACCGTCACGTTCAAAGGGTGACATCCCATCATTTCCTCCTCAGTGACGACGACGAGGGGGAAAGTACCATTTGGAGCAGGCTTTCCATGGATATCGTTAATCCAATAGAAATGGACAGGGAGTTTTGGGTATAAGAACATTAATATATTGACGACGGCATCTCTTCTGAACTCCTCATCAACGACAACGAAGACAGGCCTGTTTTCCAGTGCCTCCTTGCATTCCTCATAAATTGCGTATGAGGCCCTTACAACCTCACAAACGAGCTTCTCCTTGCATTCACGATGAAGTTTCTGGCAAGATGTCATCTCAATGAAGCGAGGAAGGCATTCTCTACCTGGTTTCTCCCCTTCAATTTTCAAGGAGCGTTCTGATGAGACAAATACGCGTCTCGAGAAATTTCCTACGGAAATAAACAATTCAGATATATGCTTAGTATTCCTCTTCACTTGGTTGAGGATGGCAATTTCTAAACCTCCTGGTTTGACGTCTCTAAGAGAGAAATCCCTCTTGTAGGACTGGTCATTGGGTCTAAAGAAGAGGGTGATGGACTTCAAATACTTCATCTTTGAGGAGCCATTATGTAACTTGTCATCCTGGACCAAGTCATTGATCCATGCCCAATGATCTGAAAGGCCTTCGGAGGTGATGGTGTCCTTGAACCCAAGTGTGAGAGGGACTTCATCTATCAGGACGTGTTTTCCTTCTCCTTTAATTCTCAGGAAACTCTTCAGTTTTTCAATGTCCACTTCAAGGTTTTCATCTCTTCCTTCGGCAACCACGATTTTCTCTGTTTCTGTAAAATAAAATGAAAACATCCTCAAACGTTCAGTATTCATGAACCTCACTTTGGGTAAATTACTGAATTTCCTTAACGCTCAACTCTTGATTCTGCTCGACTGCCCGAATGCTCAACTGATTCCACGTAGCCCCTGTAAAAACATGGCTGTGAGAAGAAAAACCATCTAAAAGATGAAAAACTTCTGACATTAGGCAAGTCTGGGAATTTCAGTCATAATGCCTTAAAGTGTTCACAATCTATATTTATAGCTGAGAGTACCGACTGAAATAGATTGGTTGCATTGCCTCTGTAGTCGAGGCAGGCACATAGAGAATTTTCCGATTCCGATAAAAATCGACCCCTTTTAAGCAGTGCCCAGCGCAAGAGTAGAAACCAAAATATCAGTCGAAATTGTCGATCCCGATCTCAGCAAAAAAAGAAGGCAAAATCCCCAGCCATTCGTATTTCCTTCTTCTAATATATACAGTATATATACTAGCGGCCTGCGGCCGCTACGCTGGCCGTCTAATCGGTGGAAATTTGAATCGTCTATTGTGTGCTTAACGTCTCCTTGACAATTCTCTGTTCGTTGCATTACCCATTCGGAACTGAACTGCTTCATTACATTGATATACATATAGCTTACAGTACACAGGGTTATACTGCTCCTAAACACCATCATCATGATATTCGCGCTGATTGTCATAATCGCCATTGTGAACGCCTCGGAAGTGATAGAGGCCAATGGTGATTACATTCATGATTGAGATGATTTTGCTTTTAAATAAACTGGGTTGTAATAATTGTTCATGAAATTCCGAGAACTTTCTTTCCAATCAGATAACATCAACTATTGTCCTCTGGATTTTCAGCACATGTATTAAAGCACGAAGCACATAATTCTTAGTGTGGGTTAGCAACACTATGAAGACAAATTCTTCAAGGAATTATTAATCTACATACATTACTTTGCTGTTTATATGCGAATGTCAAGAATTTTCGATCTGAAGACATAACATCAAGTTTTAGCGATCCATGTCTTTTGGTTTTGCTGAATCGGAAAAATTAATTGGAAAACGTCACCTCAGAAAATGTAGCCTCGGGTACATTAAGAGAAATTATCAACCTCTATTCCAGGTCAATTCACCAAGAGCAACAAAATTCTAGCAAGCATCTTCCTCTAAAAAAAAGAGTCCGTGGTGACGTATTTTTTGTAGAGGGATGCAGGAATCAGCTTCACGCATCAAGCTAATGCAAGCATCGACTTGATCCTGAAAAGTATTCTAATTAGCCTATAATTATGAAACACTAATACGAGGGGTGTTCCAAACGTTTCGGAAAATATTTCTTAAAAAATAACTAGAGGTCGTAGAGGTTAGAACTTTTAACCAAATACGCGCAAGGGTATAGAAACATGTTTCCTTTATCCATAAGTCATTTATGTGGTTGCTTTCAAGGTCTTCACACGGAAAAAGAGGAGCTCATTTTGCAGCAGTGTTAAGTTCTGCGCTTCCTGTGTTTGGAGGGTCCTAGAGGGACGGAAATTCATCGGTGGTTGGAAAAAGTGTTAGGGCCTGAAAACCTAAGCAAGACACAAATTTTTGAGTGGATTAGAAAATTTAAAGGACAGATGACCGTTAAAGACGCGAATCGCAGTGGGCGACCGTCGGTTGCTGTGACTGAGAACACAGCCCGCGGGCATGAACTGACGCAAGCTAACAGACGCATCACAGCGCGTGAAATTGCTGCTGATTCTGAGATAGGCCACAATGATGTTGTCGAAATGCTTAGACAATTGGGCTATCTCAAAATCACAGCCAAACGTGCCAGGACTTGTTGCAGAAACATGTCGAGAATGGAATTTCCTTTCTGAACTCAATCATCAATGGAGACGGAATGTGGCTGCCATTTTTCTTTCCTGAGAGAAAAGAACAGTGAAGAGAGTGGCGCCACACATCATCGCCTCGGCCAAAAAAAGTTTAACTCACAGGCCTCAGTCAAGAAGATAATGGTGACAGTTTTCTGGGGCCATAAAGGGACATTGCTCATCGATTTTTTGGAGTCCAATATAACCCTAAACGCTCAGCAATATTGCGAGACTCTGAAAAAAAACTCAGGAAAGCTTTTTCGAAGAAGAGGCCCGCGGGAAGAAACTCTTCCTTCTTCATGAGAACGCTTGGCCGCACACTGCTTTGGCAACTTCCGCCCTTCTTGCTGAGTTTCAGTGGACTGTTGTTCCACATTAGCCCTACATCCCTGACCTTGCTCCCTCAGACTATCACTTCTTTGGATGCCTGAAAAATCACCTACGTATGTTAATTGCCTCTCAGTTACACAAATGAGCAGTACCTTAAGCCAACTAAGATTATGAAAATGTGGCTAAATTGCGATTTCGTTCTATAAATATTGGATAATCGATATTCCCTCACCTTGGAATTCACGTCTGAATACGTCGGTGAGGTCACCGCCTGGAAGATTCAGCACCAGGACATCGCCATCTCGGGCTAACTGCAAGGCCCTCCTCACGAGGATGAAGGTCTTCCCTGTCCCAGATGTCCCCGTCACAAAAATGACCTTCGATTGATTTCTCACAAGATCTCGCTGTTGAGGTGTGAGAATCGCAAGCATCTTCTGCATCTGTTCCTCAATCTTGCTATGCAACTGGGTGGGATTGCGTGGGAGATCCACAGCTGATGCAGCGCAAACGTAGAGATTGAAAATTTCCTTGAAGGTCTTCATGATGGGGGATTCGGGATTTCCCTCTTGAAATGTTCTCAATATGATTCCGTTTGTCTTTAGAAACTTTATAAAACTTTGTTGATCGTTTACATCTTCCGCGGTGAGGATTCGCGCGGTGCATTTTTCACAGTTGATCGCATTCTGTAAATCTGACTTTGAAAGCATAGGGAAAGCTGCGAAACCTGCTAATTTCACTCTCTGGTTCAAGAATTCACCGCACATGGTCTGGAAAACAGAGAAGTCTTTCTTGATTTGCCCTTTGGCCATTGCAAGTGAATTTTTAATTGTTCTGGGGTTCGACTTCGAAGTTGTTGCCTTAACTTATGTGCGATATAAGCATCTGCAGCTTCCAAGAAAGGTTTCACAGAGTCGGAACCAACGTAAATTTTGAGATAATTCCGAATATCCAAGTTTCCTCTCCTCTCGCAGGTTTTGAGACGACTAAGGTATGATATTTCCTGACAGTACATGCAACCTTCTCCCGGCCCCTACGAGAACAAGAAACCTTCACTCACAAATCCTTATCATGGAGAAACATATATTGCATCCCTCCAACATGCTCCTCGCTTTCATTATGAAAATACATTTTTTTCCGTAACGTTCTGAGACATGCCATTTGAGAACATTAGCATCTAAATAAAACAGGCAAAAGGTCAGTTGCACTTTCTGTATTCGAGTTCTTATTAGAAATCTATCCATGCAGTCTTCCGTTTTAATCCCAGTAACTCTCTCGCTGGTACTCATATATCGAACTATATACGGAGAGATTTTCGTTTACCAAGTGCCTTTTTTTAAAAACAAGATCTGAGATCTGGAATTTGAGAGTTTGTGCTCATTTAGGCTACATATTTGATTGGCTAGAACTCTAGAATTCAAGCTCCATGTGAAAGTATAAGGAAAATCCTGAGCATTTGATGCGAAACGGATGAGGGAATGTCCGGAGGGTCCCAAAAATACCTATTAAAAACATCTTACCAGATACCGGTTGCATTCAAGGATCAATGCAAAAGGCTGAGCAATGCAGGCGTGAGGGATCAGACATTAAGGGACTAGGATATGCTTAAAAAGATAATAAAAATTCAAAAAAATTTAGCATAATGAGTAGGCCTACCCTAAAATTAAGAAAAGATCGACCACAATATGTGGCATCCAAATGGGCGTTATCGCTTCCTGATACCAATTAGTACCTTTATACTTGGATATTAATTATATTGTGATCTGTTTTAACATGCAGGTACATATTTTTTAATTTGCGGAGTCGTACATTTCCGTCTTTTGCAATTTTAGTATATTACGCACGGGGTATTCAACGGAAATCATAGTTTTCATTTCATTCAGGAAAAGCATAGGAGGTCATACTCTACAACAGGAGTGCATCTCGATTTGAAGAGAAGCAATAACGGAATTGCCAAGAAACTTCAATATCTTAAATTGCTAAGTGGCATGAGGAAAAATTCAACCTCATCCGACAATTAAACAGGAAATTGAGGATCGGAGCTTGAAGTTTGAGCTAGTGCATATTCAGAATGTATTAATGTGGTGGAATCCTTCGGTGAAAAAAAGTAACGGTCTTCACTCACCCCTTTCAAGTTTTTGGATGACTGTAAATTATTTTCTATCGAACTCGAATGGGAATCTGAAGGCATCTCTTCCGCCTTCTGGTCCTGAAAAAAAAGAATGCAGCAGAAATATTAAGGAAATTAATATACAAGGTGGCCGAAAAAACCTTTCATTTTTGATAAGATGTCAGTCTGACTGTAGGTTGCCAATTTTTATATATAGGGCTACTCAATTAGGGTTTGTGTGACAAGTTTCAAATGAATATTGAAGAAAACTGTGAAAATTGCATTTCATTTACCTTTCGTCACCAAAAAAGTACTTGTTCATTTTTTCTTTCACCTTAAAATCTTTCACAGCCGACAAAAAAAAACAAGTAAATGAAAAGAACGAAAATAAATGCACAAATGCAAGACACAAAAGCCCACAATTTGGTTTGGGGGTGTCCATTTCAACTGAAAAGGTGCTAAATTCTATTGAACACAAGCCTCTAGACAGGGACACGACAGATGAATGGCTCGGTCAAAAAATCTTTGGGTCTGTGCCTCCCAATCTTCCTTTGTAGCATCATACATGGATGGAATTTCAGGAATTCGGAGCTCCCTTTGATCCTAGCCTTAAGTTCATATCGATATTTTCGACAGTACATATTGTCGCTGGTTATCAGAAAATAAATGCAACTCTAATATCTTCAGAGCCAGATAGCTGAAATTTGGCATACAAACTCCAATTGTGTCACCAACCACTGTGGTCTATCAATTTTAATTAAAATCGAGAGCGTAAAAAGAGATTGACGGCTCACCAAAAATGACAGCTTTGTTTTTCTTGCCCACCCCGTTCAGGGTAACTTGGGGGATTATGACCATTGGGGTGATATGGCCCTTCACAATGAACTCCTAAACAGGCTGAATAATTACTTTTGGAGAATTTTAAAAATAGTTCTTTCAAAGAATACATGCAATTGTCGAAATGTTAAGACCTGTTCATTAATCCAGTTCTTACTGGAATTCGGGATACATCAATGTATTAAAAGTCATATGCATGCGATACTTTGACACATGACCAAGAAACTAATAAAAGCCTTGAGCAATTTAAGCGTATATTTCCAAATAGCAACATGGATACAGAAACAATTTCTTCAAAATTATTCAATGGTCCCTCCAGAATGCTTCTGCTAAGTGCTAACCCCTTCACTTTACAGACAGTGTTGTCAACTTCGTCATGCAAGCTAATATGGGGGAATATGGCCATCTCGAATTGGGGTAATATGGACACATCCTTCATTTCATGTTAGCATCGCTCTGACCTATTGATAGTGTCAGCTTCCTTTCGTTTGGGATCTCAGGCTGCAAAATATCATCCAATGGACTTCTTCTGGATATATGGATAGACGTACTAGACATCTGGACGAAATATGCACTATATGAGGAACTGGGCATAAGGATATGCTCATGCACTGACTCCTGGACATCCGCTTGACTATTCCAGAAATTTTCGTGGAATTAAATTTGAAGGAAATTAAACATCCCTCCTACAAGGAAGTTAAAAGGGCATTCTGAGAATTATTTGGCCCTGTTTATGCATGCATGGAAAAACTTCGAACCGTTTTATTCGATATGAGACTTCATATTCACACTCGTAGCGCATTTTCACTTCAATCTACGCTTGATCACTCCTCTTACACACACAGCTTCTAGATATAGTCTCTCAATCATGTGCAATGTTACTCAAAAGCAGAAGCGTTGCAATCCTGCTTTCCACAACGGCTCCTCGAGTCAGGTAATGACGTCGACTACTTTTCTTATCCTGAATGCAGTTCGTGTTACTTTTTCAACTGCTGAACGTCCTTTATTATGCTTCAAGGTTCTCAGCATGTTCCAGCGTATTTCGCACGTTCCTGGAAAACGTGAATTTATTTTTTTTAGAAGTGGCTACATTCCACCACCTATATGCATTTCTGGGTATTACGGTTCAGAATGAAGGGCATTCTGTGGAATCAGACTGGGTGGCAAAGCGTGTCTTTGGCATGGGAAACCGTGCAAGAGAGTTATATAGGGAAATCCAAAGCTCATGAAACCTTCCCCATGCCGGAAAAAACTCTTTCTTAGGGATGGATTGTGCGAGGCCAATGTTCGGCCCTCTCTCATCCTTATAGATATACGTAGTGTATAAAAGGTTAATCTGTTCATGTCAGTGTGTAATTCTGGGAAACTCTTCCTGGAGGGATGAACGGATTTTCAGGTGAAATGTCAATTGAGCCTAAAAATAATTCTTCATAGATCAAAAGTCCAAAAAAGTCTAACCTTTTTCACATAAAAGGCCAAATTTTGACGTTGTGAATAACATTGTCTTGAACGCTTCCCGGGCGAAGTGCTCACAGCATCATGCGAAAACGATTGAAAGAGGTAATGACTTATTCTGGTGACACTTATTCTCGTCAATAGATGGCGGTCTTATAGACAAAATGTCAGCGTACATTCTAATGGTGGATGTTATGTTTTAGTGAAATCACAGGACAAGATTGGCTGACGCTGCTGGTAAGTTGACATTGGTATAATGAAGTCAAGAAATGTGGATGTTATCATGATGATTAAGTTACTACCTTGCGACAGTTATCATACCATTATAAATCTTCCATTACTTGTAGAAAAAATGTTTGTCGCAGCTTTAGTAAAACTCTTATTTTTCTGCCAAAAAATACAATAGTTGAAATTACCAAGTCATTCCACAGATTTCCGTTTTCAAACTAGCATAATGCGTAGGGCTTACTGTCGCTTGCGAGCCAGTAGAGTTTTTACAGATTTTTGTAGATTCTTCTGATGAAATCGAATTTTATATACCTACTTTTCTGAGATTTTTACATTCTTGCTTCCTTCCAAGGACCACCGTTACGGCGAGGAGATATCTACAACTGGATGAGGGATGCAGGAGGAGTCTTGATGGTGAAAGCATTAGAAACAAGTTGGACAGCTTCCTCGGGTCTTTAACCTTTACGCGCCGTAATTAAATTTACCATGTATGAGCTTTCTGCGGGAAATTCTTCAGGACATGAAAATGAAATACAAAGTATCTTAGAAAAATAACCATATCTACGAAACATTAAATGTCAGAGGAACAAAATTGGCATTGTTGGAAAGTAAAACCTGACTTGCAGGTAATGTTCCGTTATAGTCCGCAAATAGTTTATCATTCCTCATATTTAGAAAAGGAATTCAAACCCAATTAACCTGCACAATAGATAAAACGAAATACAATTGGTCAATTCCAAATAGACCAGAGCATAAGCTCGACTATCTCGGATTTTCATAAAAAATCGGCATACACGTAGAGGAATCGATTTAAAGAAAGATATTTCAACAAATGTTTCATTTCTTGCATAGATCCCCGGATATATGCAAAGTAATCTCCAGATATATGAACTTAAATAGGAAAATAGGAAACTT